TCTAAGGGTCCCAACTGGAATCCAGTGATTGAGATTAGTTCTTTCTTAGGGCCCAACTGGACTCCAGTTATTGAGATTAGCTCTTTCTAAGGGGCCCAACTGGAATCCAGTGATTGAGATTAGCTCTTTCTAAGGGACCAACTGGACTCCAGTGATTGAGATTAGCTCTTTCTAAGGGCCCAACTGGACTCCAGTGATTGAGATTAGCTATTTCTAAGGGGCTCAACTGGAATCCAGTGATTGAGATTAGTTCTTCTTAGGACCCAACCGGACTCCAGTGATTCAGATTAGCTCTTTCTAAGGGACCAACTGGACTCCAGTGATTGAGGTTAGCTCTTTCTAAGGGCCCAACTGGACTGCAGTAATTGAGATTAACTCTTTTTAAGGGCCCAACTGAGTAGGTGTCTTCCTGAAAACAAAAACAGATCCAGTTTCCGAAACGTCGTGTCATCTATTACCTAGAATTCCGAACGTTGGAAAAAGTTCAAAACCCCAGTAATTCTGTTGTCATCCACCATCGTCAGAACCGTTTAGAATCTACAAAATTGTGGCTGTTTCTCATTGTTCTGAGGAATGCCATTTACAGACCAAGGGAGAGTTGGTTTGGAGCCGGGGCAGGTTTTGAACATAAGCCATGATTTCTTCTTCTTCTTCTTCTTATTATTATTATTATCATTATTATTATTATTATTATTATTATTATTTCTTACAGGATAGCTCACTTGGTATAGCTCCTGGTTACGGGCTGGATGACCGAGGAGTTTGAGTCCCGGTGGAGGCAAGAATTTACTCTTCTCCACAGCGTTCACACCGGCTCTGGGGTCCACACAGCTTCCTATACGAGTACCGGGGGCCCTTTCCCTGGGGTAAAGCGGCCGGGGTGTAAAGCTGACAACTCACCTCCGTCTACCGCCGAGTTCATGAATGCTTGAGCTCCTACCTGCACCCCACGTATCTTCGTGGCGTGATGTTTAATTAAATACAGGGGCAATTTTACCAATACTATTAGGTCTGCATCAATTGAAATTTCTCTAAGTTATATATGAGACAAACTCCATCTTAAGTGCAACAATTTAATTGTAGTTCTATCTTCTTCCCTTCCTTCACACTACATGTTTCGGCCCTAAATGGCCATCATCAGGTGTGTATTCTTACGTAGCTGCTACACTGCCCGTACTTTAAAATTTAAAATCACCAGTCTTTCCTGTTGTATGTATGTATAAAATCTTTGTTAACCTACACGCGTCAATTTGATTTCTAAAATTGGCACTTTTTTTAACTTCACTTCAAATTAAAATGTCTGTAAATTTTCTGTTCTTTTTCTTTTTCCAAATTTTAAAATTAAAATTTTCTCGGGGTACACGCCCTATGTCTATAGTGCTGCAGCGGCCACTTCTTGTTTTATCGTTGTTCAGGTATTGTCTGTAATATACAAATATTCGTATTACTATCTTATGTTACGTTATGTTATTCTTATATGTTTATACTGTTATTTGTACTTACTCTGTGTAGGCTTTTTCTGTGCGTGTCGCTGCTTATCTGTAATACGTGTGCTGTCTGGTGTATTGTGTGCTGTGTTTTATGTTGGTGAGTGTTGGAGGGGGAATGGGTAGTGGGGAGAGGGAGGTACCGTTAGTCTGTATAGATTTCGTGTATCGTTTGAAATATGGGATTGTATGTTCCTATGTGTGTGTCATTCATGTGTAGGCC